TTTTCTTTTTTCCTTTTTTTTTTTTTTTTTTTATCAACAAACGTGACGATAGAATCTATAAAATTGCCATAGAAGATGATTATCGATTTAATTTAAAATCGTGATAAACGGTTTGAATGAAAGATTTAGAGGATATTTGTTTTTTTTTTTTTTTATCCTGCTTGCGCTTCGAAAAAAATAATCTTTTGATAAATGGAATAAATTTCATTTTGAACGTTTTTTCTTGATTTCAGGTTGAATGGGAACAATGATGACTTCGCTTATCGAACTTAAAAGATTCTCATCGATGAGTATAATCGCGATTTTGGCGATGGCGGTCGGCGTCCAAGCGGAACTTAAACAAATAAATGTGGTGAGTAATCAACAACGAATTTATTTATATTTAAAATTTTTCGATCGTAAGATATTCGAATTGCGAGCTTCGTCGAATTGAATTTTTTAAAATCTAGAAAAAAATAAGTAACACTGTTACTGTTTAAAATTGAAAAAAAAAATGAAAGGTGTAATTCAATTTTATATGCGATTTGTACAATTACACAGATATTCCGGCACGGCGATAGGATACCCGATGAGAAAAACGAAATGTATCCGAAAGATCCTTATTTGTATTATGATTTTTATCCACTGGAGCGTGGCGAATTGACTAACGTAAGTATTTTGTTTTGTTTTCCCTCAAATTTATCGATGTAAAAAAATATATTTCTCGATATTAAAATTTAAGAATTCAACTTTGATTTTCATGTATCCATTCGATTAAATTCGATTTATCTGTTTATAATTTGTATCTAAATATGAAAATTTAATAATTGAAGTTATGAATAAAATTAGTTTGATAAATTACTTCAATAATTTATTGTTTAAAACATAATAATAATCGAAAATAATTATGACAAACAGCCGAGGTTATACGAAAAGCGAATCAATTATATTAGCTTAGAAATAAATGTTATTCGAGTATTTTAATAATTACTTGAAATAACATTATTCGAGATTTTTAACTTACTTTTTCAATTGAATCAATGTCCAATTCTGTTATTTTAGTCAGGTAAAATGCGAGAATATCAACTGGGGCAATTCTTGAGAGAGAGATATGGTGACTTTTTGGGAGACATTTACACGGAAGAATCCGTCTCGGCTCTCAGTTCGTTCTACGACAGGACGAAAATGTCTCTGCAACTCGTACTCGCAGCGCTCTATCCGCCAAATAAATTGCAACAATGGAACGAAGATCTGAACTGGCAACCGATCGCCACGAAATATTTGCGCCGCTACGAGGACAATATCTTTTTGCCAGAAGATTGTTTGTTGTAAGTTAATATATAAAAATGTTTTTTGGAAAAATTTTCTCTTAACTTCCTTAATTTCAATCGTAATTTTCTCGTTTTCGCAGATTTACGATCGAATTTGATAGAGTATTGGAATCACCGCGTGGGAAGTATGAATTCTCGAAATATGATAAATTGAAGAAAAAATTAGAAGAGTGGACCGGAAAAAATATCACTACACCATGGGATTATTATTACATCTATCATACACTGGTGGCCGAACAATCTTACGGTCTTACTCTGCCATCTTGGACAAATAATATATTCCCAAGAGGAGAATTACTCGATGCGACGGTATTTACGTACAACATAACCAATTCGACTCCTTTGTTGAAAAAACTTTATGGAGGTAATTTGATAATAATATTTCTTCTTATTTATTTTAAATCCTTTTCCTTACTTTTAATCTTTCTTTCTTCAATTGTTAGTTTTTTCTTTTTTTATTACTACGATATAAATTTCACAACTAATGTTATATTTTCATTATTACTATATCAGTTCCACGGATTCGTTGATTTTGCACAAGTATCAGTATTTTTCAATCTCATATCTCTGTTTCTTTTTTTTTTTTTTTTAGAAATTCAATTTAATATAAAATATCGTGTCACTTTATCGTATTGCCATTTTAGGTCCGCTTCTTCGAATATTCACCAAGCATATGTTAGACGTAGTATCGGGTACGCAAAAGAAAAAGCGAAAGATATACTTGTTCAGTGGACATGAAAGTAATATCGCCGCCGTCTTGCACGCTCTTCAACTTTATTATCCTCACGTTCCTGAATATTCCAGTTCTATTATAATGGAGCTTCACAATATCGAAGGCACTCACTATGTAAAGGTACGTAATGAATCGTGCATAAACCGATATCTATATTTTTATACGAAAACAATATTTTTAAATTATCTTATAAATTAACCTACAACCTCGATAGCGGCCAATTTACGATATTGTTATGGACATTGATCCTTCGCCATATGCAAATATATCATCTCAATTATTATTAATAAGTTAATTACGATGCAGAATATCGAAATATGATATTGAAAACTATTCGAATAATTTGAGGATTATATTCGAAACAAATTAATCGTATTTACGAATTATTTCATTTCATTCGAGTTTGTTTAATTCTTATTTCTTCTGTATTTTTAATTATCGATTAATATCGTTGCAGATCGTTTACTACTTGGGTATCCCGTCTGAAGCAAGAGAACTTCAATTACCCGGCTGCGAGGTACTTTGCCCTTTGTACAAGTATTTACAATTGATTGAGAACGTGATACCATCGAACGAAGAGATGATTTGCGATAAAAGATTCGCCGACGAGTCGGCAAACAATTTGTCGATCGAAGAATTAGATTTCGTGAAATTGAATTTAATAAGGATAGCGGGTACTGAGAATAAATAACTATTATGGGAGAATTAATTAATTTGTCAATCACGTGAAAAACGAAGAAGAAAATGAAATATGTGTTTAAAGTATTTACTTTACATGAATGAATGAATTTGAAATAGTTAAATGAATTTATCATCTAATTGATATTAATTATTTATTAATTATTTATCGATAATCCAATATAAAAAAAAAAATACGAAGAATGTGATTCATATATGATTCTTTAACTATGTTCAAAGGTCATCCTATAAGTAATGCTATCTTTTCATTTATATCCATTAACAGTATTATTCGGCTAATTTGCTTTTTTTTTTAATTAAAAACAGTATTATTGCTAAAATTCAGACTTTTTATTTTAGTATTAAAAAACTATTATTTAACTTTTAACATTATATTAACCAAGAAATGGAAATGAGCATTTTATCGTAATTATCATATTGAGATTGTAAAAAGTGTAGTCGTTTACTGCTTATTTCACAAAATGTTTTTGATCATATTTATCACGAACGCAAAAAAAAAGTTTATATGTGTAAGTTTATACAGCGATACAGGGAATATTCGATTTTCTAATTTTACGTTGGTTATAAAAATATATTGCAAAATTTGTGCATATACGTACATTTTACACATATATATACATATATGTATATAACGACATTACTTGTAAGATGACATAATGCATAAAAATTTTTGCATATGAACATGTACTGAATATGCATAAATGAATATTGATATTGAATCAAATAATTAATTATTTTTTATATAACTTAATTATTTATGTTATATGCCAAATATTAATTATTGGTCAACATTCGAAACATTCAAATTTATGTAAATGTTATTAACCTAATTTATATTATTATGTGTAATTATTATTTTTTTTTTAACGCAAACTTTTCAATCCAAATAGTATTTAAT